TCGATCTCTGTAACAACTCATTTTTTATTGCCTTCCATTGTATTAGTTTGCTAGGGCCACCATGACAGAGTAGCACACACTGGGTGGCTTAAACAATAGAAGTTCATTTTCTCAGAGTACTGGAGGCTGGAAGTCCAAGATCAAGCTATCAACAGAATTGGTTTCTTCTGTGAATTTCTATCCTTGGCTTATAGATGGCCATCTTCTCCCTGTATCTTCACATGGTCTTCCCTCTGCGCTTGTCTGTGTCCTAATCTCTTCTTCTTATAAGGACAACAGTCCTATAGATTAAGGCTCATTCTAATGACCTCATTTTACCTTGATTACATCTTTAAAGATATGAACTCCAAATATAGTCACATTTTGAGGCACTGAAATTACGACTTCCACAAGGAAATGCCTGTTGGGGGATTGGGAGGGGGGTGGGCACAGTTCAGCCCATAATACCTATCAACCCTTTAAAATGTATCAAAAGAGATCATGCATCATTCCCTATCCCTTGATGAAAACTACTGGGTTTATTATTTTTCTGCTTACTTATCTAGATCCCCAGGGGATTCAATTCAGAAATTAGATTGGTCTGTTTAATATTATCAATTGAAACTCAGTGAAATATAATGGCAGATCGCCTCCCCTTCTCTAAATTGGGCTGCTTTAGGTTGGAAGTCTGCAGTGGGACAGGGCAGTGTTGACTTCTCTATTTCACCTTCCTAAGTTTTTTGTTTATCTGTTTGTTTGTTTTTGTGGGGGGTTTTTTGGTTTTGTTTTTTGTGTTGTGTTTTTTTTTTCATTCTTATTTCCCTTTCCCACTCCCAAATTCCTCCAGGTTTCTAATTAGCTTTTGATTCTCCCAGGTTGGTAAAAGTCTAGGAGAGGTCTTACCTGAACTGCCTCTTTATAGCTCCTTCCTGTTCTCTTGCCTGTCAGAATTTGATGCTCCCTCTCCTGTCTGTCTGTGGTTCTTTCTAGATTCCCATCACTAAGTACCTCTCTCTGCAGTGCTAAGAGGACCACTTTCTATCGCTTGACAACTCAGAGAGGCAAGATGACCCAGGCAGGGCAGTCACTGTAATTCAGTTTCATGGCCCGCTTTGCCATGTGTGAGTCAGGTCACAGCCTGCCAAACCCCACCAGTGTAAGAAGCACATAGAAAGCTCTCAGAGTGGGGTCCTACATAATTTGCAGGGACCAGTGCAAAATGAAAATGCAGGACCCATTGTTCAAAATTATTAAGACTTTCAAGATTACAGGGCCCTGTTCAACGGCATGGATTGCACACCATGAAGCTGCCCCTGCCTTGAGTTCTCCTCTTCATAACTCTGTCACTGGAAACTGGCCCCATCCCTCTAGAGCAGTGGTTCCCAACCTTCCTAATGCCGCGACCCTTTAATACAGTTCCTCATGTTGTGGTGACCCCCAACCATAAAATTATTTTCGTTGCTACTTCATAACTGTAATGTTGCTACTGTTATGAATTGTAATGTAAATATCTGATATGCAGGATATATTTTCATTGTTACAAATTGAACATAATTAAAGCATAGTGATTCATCACAAAAACAATATGTAATTATATATGTGTTTTCCAATGGTCTTAGGCGACCCCTGTGAAAGGGTCGTTCGCCCCCCAAAGGGGTTCTGACCCACAGGTTGAGAACCGCTGCTCTAGAGGGCAGGCAACTACTCCCCTCATAGAACTCCTACAGAGTTCCCCGCCTTTTGAAACCTCCTGTCCTCCTGTCATGTGTTAAAATTGTCCCCCTGCAAACGATACACACAAATCCTAAACCCCAATGTCTCAGAATGTGAACCTATTTGGAAATAGGGCCATTGTAGAGGTAATTACTTAAGTTACCAGGAGGTCATACTGGAGTAGGGCAGGCCCTTAAACCAAAATGACTGCCGTCCTTTTAAGAAGACAGAGACATACAGAAAGAAGACAACAGACCTGTGGATCGGCAGATGGGCGTTGGAGCCATGTGCCTACCAGCCATGGGGACTGCTGGTGAACTCCAGAAGCTAGAAGAAGCAAGGAATGATTCTCCCTTACAGTTTTAGAAGGAATACGCCCCCTCTCACAATTTGATTATTGGCTTGTAGGCTTAAAAATTGTGAGACAATCAATTTCTGTTGTTTTAAACCATCCAGTTTGTGGTAGTTTGTTATGACAGCCCTAGGAATCTAACACAGTTCCTTTTATAACTATGCAGGTTGGAGAGTCTAAAAATCATGGAGTCAATGTTCCAAACTGCCATTGCAAATTCTGTACACAGGGAAGTCTGGTTCTATATTTCATATCTATTGCATCTTAGTGTCTGGGATAATGATGATGATGACATCCAGTTATACTTTACAAAAGCATTGGAACAACCATTTTAATAATAATTTTTCTATTTAAATATATCTTCCCACAGTGGCCTTTAGTGTGACTAGGTGATTTATCTGCTTTTATGAATATTTACAGAAGCTCAAATTTATTTGTGTTTCTCAATTGATGTCTTAAATGAGTTTAGCAATAATTTCCAACATGTGAAGGATGGGAGCCAATTCCAACCACAATTCCTTTTAATGTTATTCTGATTATTTTTAAGTAAAGATAAGCATTTTCATTATTCTACCTATGCATCTGGTTTGTTCTGGATTTTTTTCATTTCGGTTATGTCCAAAGGAATTTCATATTTATTCAAATATACACAATGAAGACAGCATTTAACCAATTTTCAAGGACTGCTATGAGAATGATCTTCTAAAATATTCTGCATGAAATTAATGCTTTATTTCACACAAGGAAAGATTGTGTCTATACATTCTTTTAAAAGTTTCATCATGCTTACAATGCTGATGTTGTATAGTTACTTCTTTAAAAATATGCCTTTATCTTTACTCCCCTGGGAAAATGCAAGCAAATATTTGCTTAGATTAGTAGCCTTAGCACAGCTTTCAAGCAGTGCAAGTTCAAAGCAAAGTCACTGTTTCCTTATTTGGACAGGACCAAGGCTCCTTCAGCAAGAGGCTCAGGAACTAAACGCCCTCTGCTGGCCCTGTCTTGCCATAGGACGTTTCTTTTATCCTTGGATGGAGAAAAATTGTGCAATATACACAACTTACTATATATAATCTCTCTTTAAAAGGTTCACGCATTTATTTTATTCAGCTTTATTATACAGGTTGCGATTTCCCTAGATTTAATTTTAGTTTATAAAATAATTTTCCTGTTGAATTCCTCAGAACAATATTTTCCATAAAGTTCAGTTTTAAGCGACTCTATCACTTTATGCCAACTGCTTCACTACTTAGATGAAAACATCAAAGCCAACAAATTTACCCTATTCACCCAATTCACCAGAGCCGCTTAATGATGGAGGACTCTCTGGACCCCAAGGTCACTGTCACTATTATTGTACTTGACTCGACTGCCCCTTCCACTCCCATCACTTAGTCATTTTGGAGCTTTGGACCCTCTGGGGGATCACTTTAGGTATTTGAAGTATGATCAACTTGAGAAATTTGTTAACAATCATCCAGAGGGAAAAATTACATGAAAATAAACACTAGGTTTTTTTTTTCTCCCCCTCATTGTGTAAAAATAGCCCAGGAAAATTTCTATAGAAATAACAAGGAAAAACATTTAGCAACAAAAGTTAGAACTTTAGCATTGTGATTTTTCAAAATGCCCTCTTTTACTGTATGTCACACAATCCTGAAATCAGCACAGAATATGCACAGATGGAATTGAATTCATCAATGGAGCTTCCAAGCAAAAGACTTTGCTCCCAGGCAGGTCCTTTTTCTGTTGCCTGATTTCAGGCTGCATCTATAGCCTGTTTGCCCAGTGGCTTATGCAGAAGAGGTTAAGGAGAAGTAGCTAGCTTATAGCTGTGTGTTCTTTTTTTTTAAATATATGTTATTGATTTTTTTACAGAGAGGAAGGGAGAGGGATAGAGAGTTAGAAACATCGATGAGAGAGAAACATCGATCAGCTGTCTCCTGCACACCCTCCACTGGGGATGTGCCCGCAACCAAGGTACATGCCCTTGACCAGAATCGAATCTGGGACCTCTCAGTCCGCAGGCCGACGCTCTATCCACTGAGCCAAACCGGTCAGGGCTAGCTGTGTATTCTCAACTTACATGCCTAGATGACATCTGTGGTGTTTCCCAATTCCAGTGATCTAAAACTGTTATTAAAAACAGGATATGGGTGTGAATCTTGTGTTCAATGTTTCATTCCTGTCCTGAAATCCCCTGTGAAGTATCAAATCTTTCTCCTTTCACTTCAATAAAACTGAATGCAATAATTTGCTGTTTCTTAATTTGTGCTCAGCAGTCATCTCATTCTTGAGTCCCTGACCCGGTATGTGCCGATCACATCACTAGGCCTATTCTTCCTGTTCTGCTCTGCTCAGGAAAAGATTACCCTCCTTATATGACTTCCTTC